CTCTTGGAGTCTATGGTTCCTTTTGCCTTAGTCAGTAGTCCTCACTGCTGAGGCATATGTTATTTTCCCGGATTTCTCTTGCTTTCTTTGATAGTCAAATTCTGTATTTTGATAATGATAGCGATTAAGGGAAAACTAATTTTTACCACACACGCCGTCCAGTCTTGGTAGAAGACTGATTTTATTAAAGAAAATATAGGATTTTCTGGAAAGGACTCTAATTTATTGGATACTCTAAAAACTACCACTTTTATTAAAGTTATTTGAATAAAATGACACTAAATACTTATGAACTCACCAGCATTTGTAAAAATGCTGATACTCGCTTTTCAAAGAACTTGTATTCTCAGGTCAGCATTAGACAGGTACATTCCAGGAGCTTCTGTTGAAGACGGTTTTGTGCCAAACTGTATCTATACTAGTTTCTGTATTACTTTAATGATTCCATACAATGTAAACTATGTAGAACTGTTATTATTAATGCAATGGTTGTTGTACTTTGATTACTATATTGCATATGTTGTGATACTTGACATGACGTCAACCAACCCAGAACGTTTCCGCCGTTCTGGTTTTGGGGTGTGACAATATGCTCCAATAATCAAGGACTTCCAGAATACTCCTTACATCGGGTGAGCAGACAATCATTAAGAGAGAAGATAGATTTAGAAAACATATTTTATACACCCAGGTTGGATATCTTCTAATCATGCAGAGGGTGAAACATATGACTAACTGAGGTTTTAGAGGGATTGAGAAGTAGAATGGTGCATATACTGTGTACTAGGTCGGATTGTAAATCACACAAAGGAGATAGTATATGGCTAACAGATATAAAGAATTGCATAGATGGAAGATGTAGAGAAATAGAGTTGCATACGTCACAGTCCAGGTCGGATCCTTCGATCACGCAGAGGAGGCCACATATGACTAACAGGTAGAACGAAAGAATATAACCTTCTACAGACCTAATTCATCGGAATTTACCAGCCGCCCCATCAATACCGGAATTAAGGACAAAATTCGCACATCGAGGAAAAGTTAAACCACGGTTCCAGATACGGGTTCATTTAATGTGACAATTAGATTCCCATATATATCTCCCTACTCAACATGTCCAAGCGTCGTATTGTCAGGTTGAACAGAACTAACTAGATCAAGATTTATCAAGTCTCTAGATTTCTTAAGTTCATCTGCACCTAGTCAAGTTTGTTAAATTCTTCGTGCCTACCAACATATCAAACCAGAGCATAGACCCTTCAACTTTGGGTACGTTACGCAAACTTAGATTGCCTGTTATCACTTAATAATATCACTTCCCAAAACATCTCCCTCAAGCACATTCCATAACAACCATTTTATTATTATTATTATTATTATTATTATTATTATTATTATTATTATTATTATTTTTTAATTTTCTAATTTTTGTTTTGTTTTTATTTCTCCCCCTAAATTTGTGCATAGGAGAGTAACGAAAGTAAATGTGCAAATTTAAACTATCCTAAAATAAAAATTAGTCTTTAAAGTGAATCAACTTAAGAAAAACTCAGGAGTATAGAGAAGAAAACTCAAACTGTAAGTCACCGATTGAATTTGCATCCAGAAGGTCTGAGAACAGCACGCATAAACTAAGAGTAGATCCGAAAATTCTTCATGTCATTAAGCACAAACCCCATGAGTGATCACTTCCTTTCTTCCCTTCCCGCAAGAACACATACTCTCAAATAATGTTTTTGTGTCAAAATCAAACACAAATGTTTTTGTGTCAGGTGGTATTTTCTTTCAGTCTGATAATGTTGTTTCTAATAGTGTTGTTTCTGATCAAACTGCTAAACCTGTTTTGCATGTCTCTGCATCTAACACACTTGTTACTAAACCATGTGATGGATCTGGCTAGTGTAAATGTGTTAAAAATGGGGTGCTAAATTTTGAAAATGTTAACTTCGCTCCAAAACTAAAGCACAGCTTGCTGAGTGTATCTCAGATTTGCGATAAGGGTTACTCTACTCATTTCATAGATAAGGAGTGTCTGACCTTAAAGCCTGGTGTTTTCATCCCTGAAGACTGGATTCTTGTAAGATCTAAGTGGGATGGAAATGCCTACATTATAGACATGAACAACAATATTCCTGATGAAGTCACTTGTCTCTTCTTCAAAGCTTCTGAACAAAATGCAATGTTGTGGCATCATCGTCTCGGTCATGCAAATGCAAAGAACTTGACTCAGCTTGTGAAAAATGATTTGGTCCACGGGCTTCCCATCAAAGATTTTATTTCTTTTGAAAAATGTGTTTCATGCGCTCAGGGAAAACATCATCGGAAACCACATCTTCCAAAGCAGATAAAATCCATAAGTCAAGTGCTCGAGTTATTGCATATGGATTTATTTGGTCCGGTTAATGTTCTAAGCATCAATCGCAACTCATACTGCCTTGTTGTGATTGATGACTACTCTCGTTTCACTTGGGTTTTCTTTCTGTCTAACAAAGCTGGAATTGCTGGCGTGATCAAAAGATTCATTGTAATGATCGAAAATCAGACTAACAATCGAGTGAAAGTACTACGTACCAATAATGGAACAGAGTTCAAGAACGCTGTTCTTGATCATTTTTGCGCTGAGAAAGGGATTGTGCATCAGTTTTGTTCTGTTCGAACACCTCAACAAAACGGGGTTCCCAAACATCGGAATCGAACTCTAAAAGATGCCGCACGGACAATGCTATGTGATTCTAAGCTTCCTGTTTTCTTTTGGGAAGAGGCGATCAACACCGCGTGTTATGTTCAAAATCGTGTGCTGATCAACAAAGCCAGAATGAAGACACCGTATGAAATTCTATTTGGACACAAGCCATCTGTCAGTCATTTCTGAGTATTTGGTTGCCCTTGCACCCTTCTCCACTTGGAATCCAATCCCAAATTCAATGCCAAAGCCGATGACTGTTACTTTGTTGAATATGCTGCTCGAACTGCGTACAGGGTTTACAATAAGAAGACTAAACAGATTGTAGAATCCTTTGATGTTCGTTGGCTCGAGGAAAATGAGACAGATGCAAGAGTGGGTCCTGATTGGTTGTTTGACTACACATCTATTAGGTTATTTGACTACACATCTCTTTTCAAATCATTCAATGTGTCTTCAGATAATCAAGAAGGATCTACATCCAATTTGAAGATTCCTAGTGAAGACGAAGAAGATGAAGTTGTCTACCGACCACCACTGATTTCCTCTGATCCTCCATTGGTACCCTCCGCTAATTTTGAATCTTTCGAGTCTCCTCAACAACCTTCTCCTGATGCTATTGCTATTCCTTTAACTCCGATGGAAAGAGAGTTCATGAACCACGAGACTTTCGCTGTAACTTCAAATCTAATGGAACTTCTCTTTCCATAAAATATTGCAGAAGAGTTTGTAGCAGATTCTTCAAACGAACCTTGTTCATCCTCTATGGATCATACAACAAATGATGGAGCGGTTAATATTCATAATCTTCCTATTTCTATCAATGATATTAGCTACCAGATCCCTAATCCTCAACAGGTTAAAACAATTTATATAGGTTTAAATTGATTTTTTTGTCATCATTAGTATTTCCAATTTCATTTTATTTCCTATTTTTATTTTTATTTTTATTTTTATTTTTATTTTTTATTTTAATTTTTTGTAGGAACTTTGAAATTAATATCTTATTAATCCTCAAAATAATTCATTTTTTGAGAAAATTGTGAGTGGAAGGGGTTTTGGGATAAATAATTAAAGGACAATGGGGAGGAAGTGAAAATTATGTGTATATATAGTGTATGTGTGGTGACGTATGTACTGCCACTATTCCCTGCTTCAACCGCACACACATTTTTTTCTCTCTCAAACTCTTAAAAAAATTCCATTAAATTTTTGTTCAATCAAAGGTTTTACTCGGTAATTCTCATGAACACGGCTGGTTTTTTCGATTATATTCAAAAAATTTCTATTGTTTGCTGTTGAATCCTTATAAAAATTGTTTGTCTTCCAGGTTAACCGCACACATGGGTGTGCGGCTGACAGTGTGCTGCCACAATTATATTATGTATGATTGTGTGCGGCTGACCGTGTACAGCTGCACATGTGCGTGTGCGGCTGTATGTAACTTCGTTTGCGGCTACATCATTCTCGTAGTTTTGCCCTAATAATCTTGTGTGTTGCCTTTCAGATTAAAATGGGAGACATGGAGTTCGCTAAAGTCCACAATTCTGCAATTTTTCTTGAAGACCCTCCTGCAGCCCACAATGACTTGAAATTCATTGTGGATGGTTTGAAGAAATCACGCTTGGTTCAATGCCTAACTACAAATCCTGCTATCTACCAAAGTTTGATTAAGGATTTCTGGAGAAATGCTGTTGTAAAGAAGAATGAACGAGGTGAAAATTTTGTGGAAGCAACAATCGAAGACAAGAAAATTCAAGTAACTGAAAGCATCATCAGAGAATCTCTTCAAATTGAGGACATACCTGAGTACCCCATGGAGATTGACATTCATCAAATTGAGGAAATCTTAGAGCATATGGGATATGAAGGAACTTTTCCGCTTACAATCAAGAAGCTGCTTCCTCCATGCTGGAAGCTTTTGGCTCATGTGTTCGTGAGTTGCATTTCTGGCCGGAGATCAGGAGCAAACGAGATTTCTCTAGCCAACACTGGTGCCATTGTAGCATTGGCAGCAGGTTTTGAGTTTAATTTCTCAAAATTCATAATGAATGAAATGATACTAAATCTTGATGGGAGCAAAAGAGACAAATTTTGTATGTATCCAAGATTTTTACAAATCATCCTTAACGTAACTCACCCCGAGTTGCAGAGAGGAAATGATACTCTGGATTTCAAATCCATTGGTCCAAGTGCCTTTAGACTTATGAAACAAAAGAGAGGCGGGAAGTTCGTATTTGAAGGAAAATTTCCAGTAATCAAATTTGGAATTTTTAAAGAGGATGTTAGAGAAGAATCAGTAGAACAATCCATGCCAATGGAAAATGAAAATATTTCTCACTCCCCCTCTGAGCCTGAAGTGGAGGAGACTCATCACTCTCCCACAGCTTATGTAGCTGATGAGCATGATAATCAGAAAGCAATTGATTCAAAATCTAGAGAGGATGATGACGATGATATTTATGAAGATGTGGAATTTTTGAAAGAAATTGACTTTACAGAAATCGATGACAACATTCCAACAAACATAGAATTTGATTTTGGTGATGAAGATTTTGATCCTTTTCTTGATATTCCCAGCAACCGTGTAAATAACGTCAATGAAGTTGCTTCTTTAGCAACTAAGACTAGAGATGAAGGAAATGTTCTCAAAATTCTGCTTTCTACCTCAAAGCCCTTGGAGATCATAACAAGCCAAGGAGATGTGACATCAGAGATTCCTCCCTCTGTGTCACCTGTCTCAACATCAGCTCTAGTCATTTCTAACTTAACTAAACCTCAGACTTCTCATACTTCCATGAGAACAAGTCAATCTCTTGAAATTCTGGAGGTACCCTCTGTAAGAAGTGCTCCTCAAGTTATTTCAACAATCATTACTACCTCTGCTCACTCTCTTCCAATGCAAACTGATGAAGGTCCAAGTACCATGTTCGAGACTGGTGGATCCTCATCCATTCCAGACTATTCTCCAACTCGACCTTCTCTAGATGATGCTTCTATCAGATTGGTAAAACATCTAGCTCAATCTAGTCCAACCTCTTCTCGCGGGAAAGGATTATCATTCAACGAGGCTCGGACAGATGATGACAAATCCTCTTCATCTGATCTCTCAGAGGAAATTGGAATTCTCCGTCAACAGCTCATTGAAAATTTAATACAGATGGATCAGCTTTCTGCACATATTTTTGAGCTCAGGGAAAAGGATGAAGAAAAGACCAAACAAATAAATGATCTACAAACGACTCTTGGATCTGTTCTAGCTAATTATTTCAATCTCAAGAACGTATTGTACGATGCTTTTGGTGAAAAAGTCAAAGCCCTCTCCCAACAGCCTCATGGAGTAGTTGATCCTCCTTCTGTTCAATCACCTCCTGCAACTGATGATCTTCCTGTCAACCCTCCTGCTCCAAGAACAACTACAATTGTCAACAGCTTTGAAAAAGAACTTGAAGGAAGCAGAGCCAGAATCACAATCAAGCAGGGAAAAAGAATCGTAACTGCAAAGCAAAGCGAAGGCCTTTTATTCATTAAAAATTCTAATGAAAATTGCAAAACAAGAGACCCTGTCTTGATAGTAACAGATTTGAAGAAAAGAAAGTTCGGTGATGAGTATGGCGACAGGACAGGCAACCAAATGTGGGCCTTTGATCCAGTGACGAATTTGTGGGTTGTAAAGCGAAAATCAGGAGCATCTGAATGTTACAAAGCACCCATTATTTCAACTCTTGGACCAAAACTAATCTAGCTGAATTATCTAGGGCCCCATTCCATAACCACTCTGAAGATCCTAATGCTTCAAATTTCAAAAGATTTCTCGACAGATAGGTGAAAGATAAGTTTCCATCAATGAAGACTGCAAAAGCCCTATATAAAAAGGACAAAGATGTTCTTGATCCAGAAACAGGCGAAACCATGAAGATTATACTCTAGCCTGCAACTAAGAAACAAAAGGAAATTCCTATTCCTCAGCATTTTCATGAGGGATATCTGGATGTCATGGAATTTTGGGCATATGATGACGAAACAACTACTGCAGCAATCAAATTCAAGAATCGAGAACATGTTCTGAGATTTATTAGTGCTAAAGATCTTCTCCGTTTCAGAGAAAGGGATATACGAACTTTGGCCCGTCATCAAATCATTTATAGAAAAGATGTTATGGAAGTTGCTGCTAAAGAATTCACTACTATGGTGGCTATGATCATAAATGGAAGATTGTGGATGGGATCAATGGGGAGATCAGACTGAGGTTGTTTGATAAGCCTGCTGAGGAGCCAAAGGAGTGAACACAAGACTATGCTAGTCTCAAACCAAGGGGGAGACTGAAAGAACATAATTTTGTGGTTTGAGCTAGGCATCATTTTGTATAGGTGATAGTGTCATTTGTGCAGTGATTGTATGTTGTCTTGTAATGTGTGCTGCCACACATGTGTGTGCAGCCGCACACATGTGTATGGCTGCACACACTTGTGCTGGTAGGAGGAGTACTATTTAAAGCATCTGAGCTGTGTCAGTTTGTACTTGTTGCCTTGTGTCAGAACTCTGCTGCAGCAGTACTTTTCTCAAGATGTACTTGACATTTACAGGCAATAGATGTGTGTATGCTTGATTTTATTTCTTCTTCTTCTACATCTTTCCTTTATTGCAATCGACTTCATTGATTACTAAATTGGATCATTAGATTTGGGACTTACAACCACCTCCAGATGCTCTCTCTCATGCATCCTGTTCTCAGCCACAAGGGGCTTCGAAATCCAGATCTACTATGTGGACTATATCCCCAGCCTAACCCTAGGCCTCATGCCAATCGTCCACCCTCTTGGAAATCCATGGTCTATTCCCTGACCTGTATGTCTACCATACACACTAAATAACCCGCACTCCCGTGCTGAATACACTCCTGAGCCCTGGCAGCTAACAAAACCCTCAATCTATCAATCCAAAAATCCCTCAGAGTAGAGCACGCCCTTGACCGAATACTCAAATTGAACTCAATTATTAATTAGAACCCCCACCTGGTTCCCCAACTTCTGCTATCAAGCACCCAGAAGACATGTTTCTTATGTTAGGGAGTTTTACCGAACCCCTAATCAACACAACCCTCAAACCAAGCAGCCACTAGGGCCTCCATTCTCCATGTTGGGTTGTTAAACTTATCCCCGTTTCAAAACCTCTCCCACTTCTGCATCTCGGGGTAATACTCCCCCACTTAGATTTGACTAAGCCTTCATAATACATGAAAACTAGAGGATTCTTAATCCTTCTCACTTCCCAACGACTAGTCTGATGACAACCAACTATTTCCCAAGAGTGCTCCATTACTAGCCCGTCTTGAATGATTACACACATCCAAGAACTAGATGAAAACTTGTTGAACCCCAGAGAAACCATCAGCCACTAATACTTGGGCGACCCCCCACTCATGTCCTGAAGGCTAAAAGATAAATGCTCCAACTAATACCTCAACAACGAACCCCTTTTCGTTGGTGCTTTCATCCATCAATCACTAATGGTTGCTAAGACCACCGAGTCCTGACAATGCTGAGTAACCATCCTGTGAAACCCTGTCTGCAGACTTCCCACGTAATACCCCTATTTCCCAAAGGTGTTCCAATAAACTTCCTGCTCTCGGGCTTTAGAATCAATCTCTTTAGGGTTCACACCCTGACTCGCTTACCAATTCAAACGTCCACAGCTGAATTGCAGTAGTTGAAACAACCTCTGCCATAAACCGGGCTACAACTACTCCCAAGACATAATCTACCATTCCAAAAGTGCAATAGATCTAACAATCAATCCTTACCATCCGATGCAAGAGATCCAAGGCAAATCGGACTCCACACTTACTTATGCCACGTCGACCCACCTACGCTTACCGGCGCTGAAATAATGTTACCAACCTCTACAACTAACTGACCCTAAGCTGGAAGAAAACCTGCCCCCAGGTCACAAGCCTGCTCACTCTTTCGAGCACAAAAAATTGAGAGGGCACAATCCTTGCCTTATAAAATGACAATCCAATCCATCAACTAACCATTCCACTTCCAACTGTAAATCCCCAACTGAACATCACCATCGCTCCCCTTCTAGTGTCCCTGTGTCAAACATTCTAGTCTCGAGCAAAACCCTTGAGCCTCAAATCTAGATACCCACATGCTAGCCTCTCCTTCTAAACCCACAGAAATATAACGAGTATCGATCATCCTACTGATCCTGGATAACTGCAACCCTCTGCTCATCAGAATATGCACCAATAACAACTCTAGGTATTGGAAAGCTCGACCAGCTCCTCTCCCTGCCGATGTTACAGCTGATTAATCTGCCATGGCAATCGTCTTGGCAATGGCTGCACAGCGCTTGTCAAAATACTCAACCATGGTGATCTTAATAGACCCGACATCTCCAGAAACTGCCCCCAGAAAATCTTGATCACCTACTCCCGGATGATCTCACTAACACGATCCCCTACAAATGCTGGCCTATCATGGCTGCCCGCTCCTGATCCTAACATGGGTCCAGTCTCAAGACATCTCAAATAATCCATACCATAACTGGGAACCGACTCCCCAACCCAACACTAGGGGTTGTGACTTCCTTGATACGCGTATGCGTCTTGTGCTTTTAGTAGTACGGGCTTGTACCACCTTCCACACCTACCCTATTTGTCTCAAGTATCACCACAAGACCCTACCATATACATATACATAGCGGACGATAAATTCTCACTCCTAGACGAATGCTAAATATCTCATAACTGGCCTCCCGGCCTCTCACTACCCACCCATCCATGAAACTTCCACCAACCCCTGCAACACTAGTGTATGCTAGCCATATATAATGCTGGACCCTATAGACATTCGAATATCCCATCCTACCCTAAGCACTAATCAATAAGAACATAATATAAGGCCAGATCAAACATTCTCAGGCAATAAGATCTTAATTATATATAGATGTGATGCATACACAAGTAACTACAGTAATGATGTCAATGTTAAATAAGGAAAACCTTAGGCTAACAGACATCATGTACTCAGGAAATTCTATCATGCAATTCCTGAAGATCCCTAGCCTAGTACTAGCATGTTGTTCTAAAATATCACAATATCAAATAACCATATGGTACTTTGGGGTCTGCTTACTAGCTCCGGCTGATCGTACACTTCGCATCCTCGTTTACTTATTTTGAAAACCATTTAAAATCATTTTGAAAATCTTTCCTTCATTTGAGACTGGATTCACACGAGTGTTCCTCCAATTCACTCAAACAAGGCTTTGATACCAACATGTAACACCAATAAAATTCCAGCCAATTTAAAACTTTTTAAATCATTTGAAACCATTCAATTATTACAATTTCTTTTCAAAATAGATTATACATTAGAGTTCCCAGAAATCATAATCAGCAATCGAGGAAGTGTACGGTCTCACCTTCGCCTACCCGCGGCCATCCGATGAACCTGAAATAATAAACTGAAAATGTAAGCCCAAAAGCTTAGTGAGTTACCCCCAAAATACCAACCTCATATAACCATAATCATAATAATATCAACAAATACATAACAACATGCATAATGAGCCTTCAGCCTGACTAGACCACTCCCGAGCCTTCGATATGATTGGACCACCTCGCAGGGCCTACAGCCTATCCGGACCGCTCACCGGGTATGTTGGCCTACAACACAAAGCAGGACCGCCTCAACCCAACCCCCAACCAAACAAAGATGTGCACATAAGTATCATACTCTAGCTCATATCATATAACAGTCAAACCGATCTAACATATCACTAGTCATAACAACATCCCAATAACTGGGGTATAGAGCTAACCGGTCACTAACATACCATCATCTAATAGCCAAGACAATCATGTGCACATAGATATCATATAACACTAGCATGTGTGCGTGTATATATATATATATATATATATATATATATATATATATATATATATATATATATATATATATAACAATAAAACCGATCTAACATATCACAAAGCATAGCAACAATCCTAACCAGGATACCGACCTAAACCAGCTCACTAACATAATACTGTCATAATTTACCAGGACGTCGATCTAACAGATCAATAAGCATATCAAACAAATACAAGTATACAATCAGAAAAAAGGGTTGGCCTTGGTGCCTTAGACCCTGTTGATATAGTAAGGATAACTTAACTTGCAATGTCGGGCTGAACCACGAAATCACTCTCCCGAAACACTGCCCAAAACTCCAACACCTATAATCATCAAAGATCCAATTCATAAATACCCACGTACCAATTATCCTCAAAAGTCAAAGCGGTCAACCCTTGGTCAAAGCCAAAGTCAACTATCAATGTCAACCGTCCATGTTGACCTCAACTCTTGATTACCCTTAGTTACTCGCCGAGTTCCTTGCATAACTTGCCAACTCGTCGAGTTGTTCATCCAGCTCGTTGAGTTCATGATCATCTTCATGTGACTCGCCGAGTCTACCATGCGACTTGCTAATTCCCTTCAGTCCTTCATCCATACAGATGCTTTTTAAGCCATGCTAAGGCTCCATTCCACAAATCCAACTTCCCAAGGCATACTTATCACGTAAAGTTGCAAACATTATGTATATGTAAGGATCTAATGACTCAAAATGCAAAACCAAGTTTGAAATGGGGTTTTACACTTAAGGAAGGGTTCATACTTGCCCAAGCTGATAGGTTTATGGACTTACAAATCAAAGAGAGTTCAGATCTGAAGTTACAACTTAAGGTCTGATCTCATACCCAGGAATAGCTTCACAACCAAGCCATGAAGCCCTCTTCATCCAAAGAGATCTAGAAAGAAATGAGGCCAAAATCATGAACTAATACCTCAAATGAAGCTAGTTGAGATAGACTTCAAACCCACAAACGTTCTTGACTCAAACTTGTTGATCTTCAAGTTCCTTGCATCAAGATCTTCTTTCCAATTTTGCAATTTACACTAATGTGGAGCACACACACGAATTAGGGTTTCTGGACTCTCAAGACGCTACAAAGGAACTAAGGGAGGCTAATGATCCCTTAAATAGGGTGCCAAACCCCAGAAATTTGTGTTTTGTAGGCCCAAATTCCTCCGATGGACCTTTATATTTGCCTTTATTTTTGTGTAGTGATACTGTAAGTCACAAATTCTGTGTGGAACTATTCATCACCACTAAACATATATACATATTATAATATTACATATATTTAATTTTATAAGTTTTTTAATAATAGGGAAGCTTTACTTCTATAATCATAATATTAAAATATGTTTTTAGTGTTAATATATAGTGTGTGGCTAGAGTTAAAAATGATTTTTTGTGAGATTTTTACACAAAAATGGTGTGATTTATAGTGTTAACATCGGAGTTGGTCTATAACCATCTCCAACAGAAAATCAATAATTGCTCTAAGAGGATCTTCAACCAACTCCTATTTTCCAACTTTTCTTTCATTTCTTCTCCCATTTCTCTTCAACCCTATCCCCACTTATTCCCCCATTTTGGGGGGAAATGAATAGTATAACACTATATTTTGTGTTATACTATTCATTTCTCCAAAAATGGGGATAAACTTTGAGTTGTCCCTTTTAGTCCCTCTTTTTATATATTTATATATTATTAGTTTATTTTATCTGCTAATTATAATTTAAATGTATTATTCAATACTTATAAAATTGTATTATGTATTAAGTTATCTTAGTTAATTATAAATATAAAGTTTATTTTTTTTTTATCAAATTCATATGAAAATTTAAATACATATTGAAATTGTAAAAT